AAAAAGAGAGAACAATAAAAGAACAGGAATTAAGAAGGCAGAAGATAATAATTGACATTGCATTTAAATTTTTGAGGATTAAATTTTACTGGCAAGCAAGAAGCCAGAAGAGTTCCACAAGCAAGTAGTTGGAGAAAAAGAACTGTTAGCATAGAACTTAGTTATATCTAGTCATTTCAACTGTAAAATGAGAAGACCTTGCCACCAATCTTGCACTGCACTTAAATTCATAATGCCCAAGTCTGATAGAACAGTTACCATGAAGATATTTATAGAAAGGCACGGGAAGCTATGTTATGGCAGTGCAAAAGTAACTGAAACCAAAATGCTAGGTCAGGACCAATAATATTGCAGATTCTTTGTATTTTATCAAGAATCTCTAAATACTTAGACCAGACAGGGCTCTACGGACAAATTTACCTTTAGTTGACCTTTGACAACTAAATATTTTCGTTTACTAGCCAAATAGAAAAGTTACTAGCCAAATCCATGTAATGTTATTTCACTCTAATGTTATAAATAAAACAATTCCAGGTGAAGTTTTGTTTTATTTTCTAATTCTCTAAGACAATACAGACGAAATTTATGGGAGGAAATTTAGAAATTTCAAGAACAATTACATTCAGTGGTACTGTTACCTGGCAAATATCACTTGAAGATCTCATCAGTTTCAATATTTGTTACTAAACTTGAAACAACCTCATAAAGACATTACATTCACTTCAATTGTTACCTGGCAAACTTTGAAAGGTGTCATTTAGAAATATTCAGTAAACTTACTGACAAAATTTAAATGCAAATTTGAAGTCTTCAAGATCTCATCAGTTTCAATATTACTAAACAACCTCAAACAAAAAGATCATAAGAACAACCTCAAACAAAAAGATCATAAATACATTATATTGAGTCTAGAAACTGTAGAACTGTTTAGTTACCTGGCAAATATCACTCAGGATAATTCAGTCAACCGACAAATGCAAGTTTGAAGATTGAATCAGTTTCAATATTATTAAACTTGAAACAACAACAACCACCACCTCATAAAAACATTACATTCAATTCAACTGTTATCTGGCAAAAATGTCATTTAGAAATATTCAGTCATGATTTGCAGTTATTGTAACACTCTTAACAACAGGTTTTTACCTTATTTTCAATTTCCCTATCAGGTTGGTAAATGTCACTCAGAAATATTAACTATATTAACTATAGTAATGTTGATCTAAGATCTTAAAGTGGGACTGGAAAGGGAAATGTCCAGATGGTCTGGCAAACACATACTGTGTCTTTGTGTTACTGACATTGAACTTATTTCTATCTGTTTCAAACTGAAATTTTATCTTTTAAAATTTATAACTCCATTTGACCAATATTGAATTGCATTTACCTTTTTATTCCAATTTCTAGTCCCACTTTAACACTTGCTCAATTTGAATTGTCAAATCAATAGCTTGTGACTAAATCTTTTTGTTTTCAAACAGTACTGCTTTGTCCTTACACTTTCGATCAACAGACACAATGTTAGCTGGCCAGTCACACTGTCCTGCCCCCCCCCAGCAATCCTTCTCCTGCTGTTTGCCATCCACATGTCAATGGATTTCTCTGGGTTGAATTCAGCGAGATCTGGACCTTCAGAAGAAAGCAAGATTAAGTCTGACAGTCTCTGTACAGACAAGCTGTTCCGTATGTCACTCTTTATTCTCTTCTGTGCAGAAAGGGCTCTCTCACATTCTGCAGAGCTGATTGGAAGAGTGAGCATTATTCTCACAAGATGAAGTACATTGCAGAAGTCAGTCTTGTATGGGTCCTTGGTCAGTAGGATTAGCCACAGATCAGAATAAGACTTGTCCCTGAAAGTATTTGTAACAAAGAATTTCATGTGTCTCCATTCTGTCTGAACAACTTCCATATTGCATCATGCAGCCACAACACCATTCCTCTGTCCTGTATTCACATTTGCCCCATCTACACAAAACCCAACAATTCTCAATGACATTTCATCATCACTGATCCCCACTTTTGAAAGAGCAGATTTAGTAGCAGAGATAATGCCTTTAGCATGGCCATGTTCAATGGCAATAACTTCAACAAGTTTATTTTCTGCTTTGCCATTCAACACTGTTCTCACATAAACTGCTTCATTTTCTGACACAGAGCTGTCAGTGGCACCATCAATCATAACTGACACATAATGAGAGTCACTGATAGATTCCAATGTCTCATCTCTGATCGTGCTTGCAATAGTAGACATCATTTCACCACACCTAACATCGTTACTGTATGCAGGTGACACAGGCAGCCCATTTTTGTATCGAAGTAAGAGTAGGGGCTCGAGTTTTGTAAAGGCCATTGCTTCCTTCCCTATACAATAAACTGTGTTAAATTTAACTTTCAAATCCGTCAAATCCTTTTTGTTTGATTTGATTTCTGCATCGAGAAATTTCTTAGCAATGTGAGACTTTTCAATTGACTGCTTGCTTGTTTTATTAATGATAAAGTCGCGGCACTTGCCGTGTCTAAGACTTTTTTTATAGGCAAGGACGTTTTCACGTTTAAATTTAGTACTACCATCTACAAAATCAGTTTTTCCAGCTAAAGTTGAACCAGCCCTACAACAAAAATCACAATACATCACGTTTTTTTCTCTATTGTAACGAAGCCAGGAAAAAGTTGACAACCAAGCTTGTTGGAATTCTCGTACAATGGACGGCTTACTTTCATTTTGTGTGTCAACATTACTTTATTTATCATTCGGGGCTTTCTTTTGAGTCTCAGTTTCATTCAGCATTTCTACTTTGTTCGATTTTGTGAAGAAAGACAATATCGGCTTTAGTGTTGTTTTCTTCTTTGCCATGTTTCTTTAAATCTTCGCAAACTCAGACGAATGAAACATGAAACTGCGAATAAAATGTGTGCTGCCGTCATCAAAATGCCAATTAATATCTTGTATATTGTTCTATTAAACCAGGGGTCGGCAACTCATTCGACCCCGTGGGCCAGGCGAAGGCCATTAATGAAAAAATTAAGGAAAATTACATATGCAGACCCCTGTCAACCTAAATATTTAAAACCATAATGAAAATAAACATTGAGAAATCAGAAAAACAAAAGAAAATTTAAAATTAAAAAACACCTAATAAAAATTACTTTTCCTCAAGGAACGTCAAAATACTTCAAAGTGAAAAAAAATCAATCGAAGTGAAATGGATGAAATTATGACGTGTAGGTCTGAAACTGTTATTAAAAATTGTTTCACGAAAGACTCTTGTTTAAGAAGAGGGGTATGATAAGATAAGAACATGGCCCATTGAAAGATTCCAGCAACTTACATAGGGTAGATGGCAGGGGTAAGCGAGGGGGGGTCGCTGTTGGAGGAATGAAATAGAAAGCCGACTGAGACAACATTGTCCCTTTGAAGCTGTCGCCGGTCGGTCAAATCGGCTCTCAGTTTTTGTTTTATGTTTATTTTTTACGCTGAAATGGAGGTAATTGGGTTTTGATCGTGTTTTTGTGGTCATAGTATTCAAAATAGGTTGGGTGGATCAGAGGAAGATAGCAGCAGGCCTTTTGTTGAATTCGAAAGCCTCTTCTCTCATGTTAAAAATAATCATTGGTAATCAGGCTCGCGACCCTTGTATTAAACCATTTATTGTTTAAATAATTTGACTTTGCTCGTTTTATTAAAAAAAAAAAAAAGGTTGAACAGACATTTTTCACTCAGTAATGAGCTTTGGAAGATTGTCAGTGAAAAAAACACAGCCGCCAAAAGATAAGCGTTTTATTATTTCTACTCGCCACTTGGAAAAATCACTCGCAAATGCGACTGTTTCACTCGCAACGTAGAGCCCTGCCAGACCAGATGTGGCAGCAATATTCAATGGATGGACGAATGTTGGACTTGTAAATATACAAGATAAATTCTGAAGAGAAAAATTGCCTAGCATGACAGGGAACCAACATAAGGTTATTCTTTCACAAAATTACAGCATTACCTTGTGCAAGAAAATTTGAAAACTTATTTTGGTGATATAACAACTAGTGAATAACATTGCAGATTCTTCTTTGGATTTTATCAACAATCTCTAAATGCAAAACATGCACTAGACCAGATGTGGCAGAAATATTCAAAGCCTGGGCAAATGGTAGACTCATAAATATGTAAGATAGATTCTGACAAGAAAAATTGTCTAGTATAACACAGTGAATCAATTTTCTGAGCAACAAACGTAGCAGTTGATTTGATATAATCTTTCCACCTTCATGTCAGTGGAAAATATTAGTCTGCAATGAGCCCCTCTCCTGAAAGTTACAATCAACCATACTGATTGAAGGCAAAAAGGGTTCTATCAAACAATTAAGAGGGCAGTTTCACTTTGGAGGTATTAAAATTAACTGGGCAAGGAATGATTTGTTAACAGATTGTAGGTTTGTTTTTTTTATTATTATTATTAGATCCGCTGCCAATTTGACCTTATTGAACCAATCTGACTCACTATTAGACAGTAGTAAATAGTTGTCATCAGCATAGATACCAAGTTTAGAATTGATATCAGGAAAATTAAGAACAACATAGATCCCAGGATATAGTCCTGGGGGTCATCAGCATTAACGCAAAAAGATCTAGAACAGTGACTGTTCAATATAACTTTCATTTCATGATTTGGTAAGAAAGATTGAATCATTTTAAAAATTCTTCCAGAAATACCATAACAAATAATAGAAAATAAAGTTTCATAAACTCAGGAAATAGAACCAATCCACTGACATACAGTTGAATAAACCATCTTTCCTTCAATAGGGAACATTAAAAAAAAACAAAAAAATTTTTTTTTTTTTTTTCAATTTTGGTGGCCAATTGCAAATACAGTTATCTTTTCCTTCAATTAGGTGCTATAAAACAAAACTACTAGGCACTACACTTAGTAGTTATTATATTCAATCTTGTGTTTTTTTTTTTACTCCCCCTAAAATCAAGTGTATTCTTTTTTCTCTCTTTACAGTAAAGTTCCAAAATTCATCAGGTACATGGCCCCCAAAGAGGCTTTTGAGATTCATGAAGAAGCCTGGAATGCTTACCCTTATTGCCGAACAATAATCACAGTAAGACTTTTCTTTTTTCACATTCTACACAATTTTTTTTTTCATTCCTCACAATTTTTCTGGGTTTTTATTCAATATTTCTATCCACTTATAACTGGGTTTTAAGATTAGATAGGTATGTTATCCTATAAGCTAACTGCTAAAGCTCTACTAATATTATTTATCAAATTTATCTCAATATGCTTGTTCATGTCACAAGAGTTCCTACAATCTTCTAAAACACTGTAATTGTACTGTTATGAATTACCTATCCATAGATCCATTAATGATTCTATTGGCATAAAAAAAAGATTAAACCATTTTCTTTTAACAGTATTTTAATGAAATTACTAAAGTCCATATTTAAACATCAATAACATTGTCGCTTTCATTAACATCTACAACAGTGGTTCCCAAACTTTTTCTCTGGGCTGCATTTTTGGAATTAAAATTTGCTTGTGCTCACCAAATTTTATGTGATAAAAAGTATAATAAAAAATAAAGATGGTTAAAGGGAGATATCCAGATTCAAAGTCATTGATGATTCTCTTCTGCAATTTGTGGACCCTAGTTACTATATTCTTGATACTTGATATAATGCAAAAATATCACAATGATAAAATTGGTCAATAATTATTTATAACTATTTATACTGGGATTCATGCATGCAAGTAATCTATAGTATCTGTCTATATTTGCCCTACAATGTAACAGCTACCTTGGGTACATGGAAGCAGCCCAAAAAAACTGGGATAGGCAGGTACAAAAGGAGGACAACAACATTCAGAAAACAGTCTGCCTGCCTTATGTGAAGAGGTTATCAGAGAAAATACAAAGGATCTGCGGTCCATATAACATCAGGACAACCTTCAAAAGCTGGATGACACTTCACAGTTATCTCTCCTGAGTAAGACTCCCTACAGAGGAGGACATGACTAAAGACTGTGTGCGCTATCCCATGCAGCTGTGAGAAGAAATATAAAGGGGAGACAGGCCGCCCCCTTAAGGTAAGGCTTCAAGAACACCAGAAAGCTATAACACGAGTGGAAGTGGAAAAATCAGGTGTGGCTGACCACATATGGAGAGAAAAGGGAGATCACCACCCTCTGTGGGATCAGGTTGAGATCATAGACAAAGAACACCATTGGAAAATTCAAAAACTTAAGGAATCCGCACATATGCTAGGCCACAAAAATCTGAGCCAGCCAAGCATAGAAATGAATACAATATGGGAACCATTAATAAGGAGTACCAGAGAAAAGCTATAACAACAACAAAAATTGCAATATGAGCTCTGGTAAAAAACATGCAATGATAACAGCAAAAATTGCAATATAAGCACTGTTAAAAATGGTTGCTGAAGACATTAGGTTTATCATACACAGATGTCCTCAAGGACACATGGCACAGTGGATAAAGGTGTTAGTTAGATTCGGTGACAGGACTCAAAGGGTGTGAGTTGTATGAATTGTGAAATCATATTTATTTTTGTCATGTGATTTTTTTTTTTTTTTTTTTTTTTTTTTTACTGTTTCTAAATCTTTGTCTTTCAATCATTCCACCTCACCTGCTATCCTCTTCCGCCACACCTATGAGGCATGCCACACTGTTTGGAAAACACTGATCTACAAAATTGTAAATTATATGCAAGAAAATAATTGACAAGCTATGATCAATGATGACAGTGAAATTTTTTATCACAAATGTTTTTTTATGAAGGTATTGAAAAATATGGATAATGAGTTTTTTTTTTTTTTATCTATTGTATAATGGTTTGCAAATTTATGAGTTATAAATAATATAATATTATTGAATTTATTTATTACATCATGAACTTTCTGATTAGCAGAACAGTCATGCCAGTTGTGTAAAGGGTATGCTGACATCTTTTTCTATTGCCCTTTTTAGCTGTTCTACTTTTTTTATATGAAATAATTTCTAATATAATTTTGTTCAGAAAAATGAAAGTCTTCATGTTCTTGATGTTGTTACCACAGTCTTCAGTTTTTGTCAGAAAAGAAGAAAAATTATTTTAAAAATTCAGAACAGAAAAATATACATGCTGACTAGATCAATCCATTTCTACAAAACTAGATCTACAGATGAAACCATACTGCTATCCATGTACTAAGGCAATTCCAATTTGCACACACAAGAGTCTGCCAACACCTTTGCTGAGAAAAGAAAATGATTATACACTGGGCCAACAAGTTTATATATGCTATTTCTTTCAACTTTCTCACTTTCCTGCAGTGCTTCTATTAATTATCTGAACCCCATCTTGAAGAGGATAATATGTATCCTTCTTTCTTCAGATATGGCTTACTTTACCAGATTTTAATTGTTTGAGCAAAATTGGAATGTTAATAACTTTTTCTCAAATTTCTAAACTAGATATTTATTTTTATTTTATTTGTCTTATGATGGCAAAGGGCTATTTTAACTTTAATGAGGCAATAGATATCACCCATAACTTATATATACTAAATGAATCTTGCAAGAAGTCATTTTAGTTAAATCATAAAGAACATTGTTTTTATTCTTTATATCTAATGTAAACAGTCTGTTTATGTACAAGAGACATTTGTTTAATATGATTTTATGTTGATGTTCATATCACAACTTCCAAAATTATTAGTTTCTTTTATATTGCTTTTCCAGAATCCAGGATACATGGGAAAAGCATTTGAACTCAAGATTGAGACCATTCATCTGGAAGGACAAGGCAACTTGGAAAATGTAAGTATTACATGAACAAATTGAATTTACAATAACATAAACTTACTGCTTGTCTTGGTATGAAACAATATAAATTAATAGTTGTATAACTATATAATGTATGTATGTTGACTCTTAATATCTGTTGATAATCTTCCATTTAGATATCCCAAAATATTTTTTTCAATATATCTAAAACCTTTTCATGTAGGCATATAAAACTTGACAAAACATAAAAAATGGTACAAAATTTATCTTGCTAGCTCTATTAGCCACTGAGTTATGACCATTCAAAGTTCATTTTCCGTCTTGAGTGTGATTGGGCTGGAAGCCTATTTTAACAGTGTATATTTAGAGATGCAGGTTTAAAACAAGTGAAAGATCATTATAAATGCAATGTCATTAAGTCATAAAAGAAAGGTAATAATGATGGAATTAATAAATATTAGATAAAACCAGTCTAAACAATTTTTTTTTGGGGGGGGGGATCACATTCCATCCTAAAAACAGTGCAAAAATAGCACAAGGCAACTTTGACCATTCATATAAATTTCAATTCTACAGTTAAGTCATTGAAACTTCTTAATATGTTTCCTAGTATCTTAGAGATTAAGCTAAATTTTTTTTTCACAGGAGTACATCGGTAAAACAATTATTTCACCATGTAAGTAAAAGTGTAAGCAAAATTTGATAGACAAAAAAAGGGTAAAAAAAAAAAAAAAAAAAAATGTATCTTGTGGGGATACAAGCTTGTAACTTATTTTTGGATGAGTAATTCAACAAAATGCTTTTTTTGTTTATAATATTAAAACTTTTTCTCATAAATGTATTTGATTTTTTGAAAAAAATACACAGACAAATATGAACTTTATTTCAATATTTCTATTCAACTACTTGTGCTGCTTATTTAGTGTGAAACCTGTGCCTAGTGTTTTTTTTTTTTCATGATTTCTTCAATGTTTGATCGAATGTGTGATAAGCAGACCCTCATTTCTTCAGTTAGGTGCAGTTTTTATTGCTTCTTATTTTTTATGTTATTTAGGGTTGAGAAGCTTAATTCGCATAAATAAGTAGAAAATTGCTGTGACAATATTTTATGGCACACTGATGTCAGAATTTTTCTTCCTTTAGGCTAGCTGCCACCCAAGGCAAAAGAGCCCAGTCTACCCTGCTATTTAGTTATAGTTGAAATGTGTATTTGTGGCCTTTTCCAAAAGCATTAGTGCTGAGTTTGAATTCCATACACATTTGTTACATTAACTTTTGCACAAATACTTTTGAAACTCTTAGGAAAGAATCTTTATTCTCCTAGCTATGGGTTAAATAGCAAGGTGGACTAGACTCTAGCCATGCATGGCAGTCAGTCTAAAAGAAGGACAATTCTGAATTCAAAACTGGTTATGTGGTCCTGGCAAGGTGCATACTACACAGCTATTGTGAAGTTCACAATTATGTGCCATGTCGGTTTGTGCACTCTGATGTTAACTGTGGTTATAAAAAAACGTTCAAAGTGAGCAAAATACTCAATCAGTATTTAAATACTGCACGTCAATTCAACTTTCAGTGCCGATAGCCATCAAGCTACCTACATATTCCCTTCATATCAACCCACACATAAAAACAAATGTTCAGAATAATTTTGTCTAAAAACACACACACACACACACACACACACACACAGAGAAAACTAGCAAAATTTAATAAAACCATTTTCTTTTCTGAATATTTTTAGACAAAAGTGTTCGGTTTGTTGTATTTCATTGTTAGAACTAATTCTTTTAATTGTTTTGGCCATTGTTTACTTGAGCCCTCCTCAGGTTTTACTTTTTTTGTTGTTGTTGTTGAACATTTAATATCTGTTGGTGTTTGTGTAGTCCTTTCCAAGCATATACTGCTTCTGCTCATTTTTTAAATCTCAAATGGAAAATGTGCAGAACAAAGTTTTCACTTAAAAAAACAAGACATCCAAGAGTATACCCACATGTGCAGTGACTAAAACATTGTAGCAACAAAAAAATTGCAATACATTGAGTAAAATGGTTTTTATTTAAAAAATTTTTAAGAAGCTATAGAATACCATCATCAAAGCAATGGTTGTTTTTTTCTTGATGCCCAACTCAGACACTCACTGTAGTCCAAGAATACTGAGTGCTTTTATTGAGACATCATCTCTAAAAAGTTTGGCATTCAAGACTTGAGAGCCCATCCTAGCCTTTTATTTATTTTTATATATCTATATAATAAATGCGAATATCAGTGTGTCACACTTTTTTCGATTAAAGGGACACAATTCTTTAACTTTCAATAGCTTATGTTACAGAAATTTTGGACTTCTAATTTTTCATTACTGTAATTGTTTTCAGCGATCTTTTTTTTTTTTTTTTTTTTTTTTTTTGTACAATAACAATTTTTATAACTTAGAAGTAAATTTGGGAATAATTGAAATTAATTGCAGAATCCAGTGAGTCACTCATGAAATAAAAAAATAATTGTGCGAAATCTAACATAAAAAGCCCTGCCGCCGGCAGATATACTCCTGTCTCCCTGGCGGTTCTGGCCGCTAAAAGAAAACTACCTGGTCCTCCTCCGGTGAGCTTCAGTGTGAAACCACCACTATTCGCCACAGTGTGAATTTTTTTTTATCCGAACAGCAGTGTTCCGATCCTTCAGGACGGTCTGGTGGTAAAGGATGAAATGGCTGGGTTCTTCACTGAAAGGAATCGCTATTCATGCAGAAAAAAGTTCTTCTCGTAACCGCAAGGACATAAAAAATAAGCAACACTTTCGGTTACTGTACAAAGAGCCATTTAAGGCCACTGCCTTTTATGTCACTAGCAAAGAAATTGCACAAATACAAAGTGTCTTAACGATATTCACTTATTTGGGTCGGAAAGTCACAGAGAGAGAAAGACGATTATTATGCTGATAGGAATTCAGCTGATCTAAGGGAGGTAATTCGTGGATCTTCGTTTGCACCCTACAATATAGCAGTCTGCTTTCTCACAGCTTTGTTGTCAAAGTTATCTGGATTTGTACAGGTTCTATTTCTATCTCTTGGCTCCAATCGGTCTTCTTGAAGCAGGACAACCAACTGACCAGGCCAGCAAGATCCACCAAGCTGCGTTCTCTCTGCTCTCTGTCCGCGTTCTGTTTAACTCAAGCATCCAGGCGGCTTATATAGAGTGGGGCAGAGCTAAACAATTTTTAGGCGCCGCCCACAAATTTTAATATGCAAATCGCCTTGACCACCATGTGTTTCCGCCTAATCTCTGAATCTCTGCGGGCAACCAGTTCTCAAGTGGTACTAAAAATGAATTTGGATTCCCTGCTGGGTTTTCCGCAGACATCGTCCACTTAAGCCTTGTGAAAAGTACTTATCTCGTCTAAGGACTTTGGCTGGATTTCATCTTGCAGACCACCCAAAAATTCAATTCACCATTTATCACAAGCTTTACTTAATGAACCTGTCCATTAATCACTCTGAAATTAATTCACCTAATTAACTAATAACTCAACCCCAGAAACAATTATTTAAAAAAAAAAAACTTATTTCTGAAATTACTCCGGAATCCCTTCTACCCAACTAATTAGTACCTTCATCCCAATCCTTTAGAACTGTTGATTAATAAACCCACCTGGTGGTGGTGGGAGAGGCTCTCTCTCTCTGTCACAAAAAGTAAGGACTTACATGCATCAAATTGTCTTTAAATTAAGTGGCAACAGAAAAATTATTGTTGAACTTTTAAAGGTTAATACAATACTTAAATGCAGTGTTCAGTTTTGGGTTCTTCTGTAGTTTATTGTTGCCTATTGCATATGGGCAGCAGTATGTCTTGCAAAAAGAAATCTCCACGAACAGAGGACCAGATTGCAATCAAAAGAGCCAAGACTGCAGTGAGGAAAAAAAAGTCCCATCCAACTGAAAACCTAGATTAAATCATACAGCAACTAGGAAAGCTTCAAATGCTTGAGAATATGCAAAAACTTAGGAACTCTCAAACTCCTGAACAAGCCAAAAGTCTAATCAAGAGCCCTCCACAGAGCTAGCTTAAATGCTACCCGATAGAACAGCTTTTAAGGTTGTTTGTGTGTTTTTTTATATATATATATATATATATATATATATATTGTGGCCATTGGCTCCTACAAAGATATCATCTGCCCTTTGTCAGGTGACATGCCACCCTCCTCACCAGCAGAAGAGCTAGTGGAGGAACTGGTTTAGATGCCAAACACACATCCATGCCGTAGGTTGTACTGAGTTACACATTACCAATAACCAGCTTAAGCCTCACCTGACCAAATCTCTTTAAAAAAACAACTGAAGCCTTGCTGTTTGTAGAAACATTCAGAGTATCTGCATGTTTCATTGTATTTCTATTTATCTTTGAAAACATTTATAAACTCTCATTTTTTTTTTCAGGCTCACAGTCTATCACCTGAACAATTACAGGAGAGAAATGTATGTTTAATAGATATTGCTAATAATAGCCATGTGAATAGTAGTGTAAGTATTTTATTTATCTATTATGATACACTCATAAGAACAGAACAACAAAAGAACAGTTTTGTTCAGTTTTTAATTTTTGCAATCTAGAGTGATATTTGATTCCTGTATGATTCATATAGTTTTTCCAAACTTTGTGTAAAGCACATATATATATATATATATATATATATATATATATATATATGGGGGGGGTTATGCCTTCTTGACTAATTTGTAAATAGTTTTTTTTTTTTTTTTTTTTTTTTTTTTTTACATTCTGACTTTAAATTGTTAATATTTTTTAAAAAATGCCTTATTTCATCTCTAATTATATTTGTAAAACTTCAGTCTCTTTTTTCTTTTTTTTTTTTTTTTCTAACTCATTTCACCCTAAGCAAGGTGACAATGCCACTAGGACACAATGGGTTATAGGGAGTGAAAGTGAATGAAAAGATTGAAAAGAGGGGGGATTGATGAAAGGACAAAAAAAAAAAAAGAACAGGTTTCAAAAAGACAAAAGATTTCATGTGAATCCCACCATTCAATAACAGACTGTTTTATGGAGAGTCTGCATACTTAAATGCCTGGAAGGGAGGAAACCTCACTTGTAACTTAATAATAATGGGAACCATTATGGGATATTTCTCACTGAAATATTCCATTGCAATATTAACTTTCTCCTTGCTTAATGATTTTCCTTGAAGATAAGAATGAACCCTGTTGGCAAGAAGGTGTGCTTTGGTGATGACTTTATTGCACCCTTTTTTATCACTATTTGTATCAGGGTGTATTTTTTTGTGCTTTTTCAAAATTGTTGGATAATTCTTTCCAAATATCCACTGCTTCAGCAATGGTGCATGTGTCACTCTAATTTGTCAGAATCAAAAAATAGTAATTGAATTTATTTACAAATATTTAAAATCAAACCTTAAACTAAAAAGTCAAAAACATATTTTCAAGATGTTTTATTATTAAAACAAATTATCTATGTTGTTTTTTTTTTTTTTTTTTTTTTTTTTTTTTTTTGAGAGATACTGTTATTGTACAATGTACAGTAAAAAAATAAAATGATTGTATAGGAAACTTAATATTAAATTTAAATTATCACCTTTTAAAAAAAATGTTTTTAAAAATAGTTTTCAAAATCAGTTGCTTAATATATATGGTTCAGTATGACATAATAAATAAGAAACTAAGACTTATTATTTATTTAATAAACATGAATTAGAAATTAAGACATTTTTATTATTTATTTAATAAACATAAATTAGAAGCTAAAAGATTTTTCCCTAACAAAACTTTTTACTTTCTCTTACCTTTTTTTTTTTTTTTTTTTTTTTTTTACATTAAGAAAAAAGTGCCTATCACAAATTTTTCACGAAGAAATTGCATGTCAGAACAATTTTTTAATCATATAGTTCTTAGGGAAATTTTATAAGATTTTATTTTGAATATTTGGCATTCATTGGTTGTACCACAAGTTAAAACTGAATTAAAAAAAAAAAAAGTAAACAACTTTGGCCTTTTCCTCATGCCCAGCATAATTAACACTATTTTTAATTTACCAATTCTCAAAATTGTTCTATCTAATTTTGCAATAGACTAGATAAAAATTTCTTTGAGTATTGGATGCTAATCCAGATATTAAGGGTCTAAAATATATTTTAATGACTAATTGTTGAAATGTGTCCACTTTTGCAACAGGTGAGTAGAGTGCAGTTCAAAACAATATAGAAAAATAAAATATTGTAACTGATTTTTTTTTTTTTTTTAAATATTAATAATGTCTGTATTTTTAAATATTTTTTTCTTTTAAAGGATTATAAAGAATCTGAAGATCCAGTTTTATATAAATCTGAGAAAACTAATCGAGGACCTTTGAAAGAAGGCTGGATGGTAAGCAAAATAAATATCAACTGAATCTCTACTATTTCCTGTTTTAAAGGAAGGAAAAAAATGGCTATAAAAACATTTTCCAATACTAAGAAAATTTGCTCAGTTATGGAACATACAAGTGTGAAAAAGCATTTTCAGTTATGAAATTGATTTAGAAAATAAAATAAGATCAAAACTGACAGATCCAAATTTAAAGAATTCTTTACTGCTTTCAGTAAATAATTTACTTCCAAGCATTGACATTTTAAGTCTCATTAACGGAAGTTTTTATATATACAGGAAAAAGTTACATGAATGATATGTGCATAAAAAGAAAAAATAGAAAAGTGGAATATAAGCAGTCAAATGCTGATACCTCCCGAAGAGTGGACGGATGTGTCTGTCTACTTATGCTGAAGGTAACATCAATCAGCTAAGTAACGAACTCTTATTTACATTAATATATATATATATATATATAAAACTTTCTTTATTGAGACTTGTGTATATATATATACATATGCACACATGAACAACAAACCTAACCTTCCATAATTAATACCTTAATATTTAAGACAACACCAAGGCAAAAAAAACTACTAGTTACTAAACATAAATGAAACAACAAATAAATGATGACATAGAAACAAATATTTATTTTACTACCTAAACATTAAATGTGTGTGTATTATATACATAAACAAAAGAAATATTCTATAAACCCAACCACCCATAATTAATACCTTAATATTTGAACCCAGCCTGATTTTAAAAAAAGAAAAAAAATTTTTTTTAAATCCACTTTGTCATTGAAGTATTAATATAAAAGCAGATACATGTGTGTACGTATATATATATATATATATATATATATATATATATATATATATATAGAATATTAAATAATTTACATAAATCAGTCCAGTTTATGCTGTCCACCAACTCTAGCAATAAAGACTTTTTGAGAAACATAAAGCCAAATATGGAAAAGCACTAGAATATAGTAACCATAAAATTAACCTTCTTAGACAATAGCGATAATGACGTCAACAAACCAAGACATTACAAATGCATTATTATATGGTTTAACCTGCTCTTCAACGAAAATGTCAAAACTAATATTGGAAAAAAATTTTTGAATTTAATCCATAAGCACTTCGGTCATTCCCCAATGCTAAATAAGATTTTCAACAAAAATGTCAATGTTAGCTACAGTTGTGCTAAAAACATCAACCAGTATATATCACAGCATAACTGTTCTATTCTAAATGAACACTTCAACAACCATCAAAACAGCAACATCCCCACAACTATATAATTCAGCTATCAAAAAAACAAACCATGCCCATTAGTCTCAATATCAGACTTTATCATCAATGTGCTATCTTGTTTATCCCAACTGGGATATTAGGCTACAATCATTGCTACTTTCACTGAATTCTGTCTTGTGTTTTTTCACATAAGAGATTCACCTTTTTCATTTCAATCATTATTTTCTTCTGTCAAGTGTGTTTTTTGCATACCTCTCTTTTCTTAGTTGGATCCATCTCAAGTTAACTTTGTTTTTCCTCATTGGAAATCCTCAGGATATGATTTATGTTTTGCATAGTAGATTTTTAAATTTGTTGTGGGATTCACTGCTTTTTTATGAGATGTGGACATTTTTCAGTAAATATTTTTTTCAGTTTAACAGCTCCAAGTACATTTGTCCTGCAAACAATATTGGTGGACTCATGGGAGTCAGGGCAAAATAAGACATAAAACAGGGAATTTAGACAAACAAGTATTAATAAATATATTAAACAGATATGTTACAAAAAGGTTAATGAGGAATGAAGTTGTGAAGAGTTCAAAGCAACCTTCAGTATGTGTCTTTCAAGTACTTATATGCCAACAGAATGAGAAGAGAACGTCTTGTTGTTGCCAAAGAGATAGAGGGAGAGGCTTTCAAATCTTGTGCCACCTAGATTAGTGTCAAGGAGCAGTAATTCAATGTCTTGCCACCTGTGATCATCATCAGAGGTGGTAATCCAACAAATTAAAAGTACACAGAATTCTTCATATTTTTTCCACTTGATTTTTATTTTATCCTTGTTTTCAATTTTACTTTCCAGTCTACTGTGGATCCAGTGATGACATGCTACAAATTGGTCTCTGTTAATTTTGTATGGTTTGGATTGCAGAAACGAGTAGAGACTCTTATCCAGAATGTAAGTATATTCAAATTTAAATATTTAATAAATTTCTCTTGTCATTTGATTTGGCTAATTCCATTTAAAACAGTCTGTATTGAATTTTTGGAAATTGTAAATTTATTTCCAGATTGTATATACAAACAAATGATAAATTATAATTTGATATGAAATCCTTGAGACATCAGATAAAATCCCATTATATTTTGTTATGAAAGATATAAAACTTTTTTGCTTTTGTTTATTAATAAGTGCATGAACCTGTTTGATGCCACAGAATAGATAAATCATTTCAGCATGTTGTCAATTTAGTGCCACTAAAGCTATAACACATCTTACAATAGTGTTATTTAATCACCTCTGCTGGGTAGGTAATGTGTCCAGAATGTTTCCCGCTCAACTCCCATGTATCATCTTGTTTGGAGAACTTGCCAGCGGGAAGAGGCTATGCAGAGGCCCAAAATAATGCTTCAGAGATCAGTTGAAAACATCCCTGACATAGGCCAACATCGACCTTGAGACCTGGAAAACCGTTGCTTCAAATCATCCTTCCTGGGGACCAAGACTTGAGTCCAACCATCAACATGACAAGGATCTGTGACATGCTGTCAGGAGGACCCAACTCTCCAAACTATGTCTACCAATCACACTACTCTGTGACTCCTGCTCATGACTTTAACTACCACCTCATCATTACTGAAAAAAAAATAGAAACTATAGTTACAAGTAGCTAATGCTATGTGGAAATAAAATTTCAATGGGAAGGGAATTGAAACTTTACCATTTCTTTGGTTCCTGAAAGTGCTTCAAGATTCTTCACAGGTGGATATGGTTGCAACATTTAAATTGCTTTATAAGTAGACCTTGTAAGTGTCCTGTAGTTTGAATATCAGTAATATGCTGAAACCACTATCTGCTGGCCACTAGTGGTTGTAGTTTGTAAAAAGAAGAAACGATGATAGCTCCAATACTACCATGTCCAACCAACAAAAAGTATTGGATGAAGATTAAGTCTTGTTTGGTTTGCAGTTTCGGAATAAGTGGAAGTCACATTGAACAAAATCAAGTTGGAAATACAATCAAGGACGTTCTTGTTCCATCCTGGGTATGGCGATAAACTATACCTGGAAGGTTTTGAGGAGTATGGAACAACCTCTTAATTACTGTTGTTCCCAGGTCCAACCAGGGGATGGTAGCACCAGTTATGGTCCTAACTATAGACAAATAGTTAACCCCCAAACTTAGTTCAAAACACTGAAAATATAAAAATACATTTTCAGCATGAAAATACCAGCAATACATTTTTGTAAATGAACTTACTAATACTCCCAAGAAAATTTTGGCATTAAATAATCCATAAGAGTTTGATATGCCACTAAACAAACTGACATTCTGTTCACTCTCTCGCTGTCTTGCCCGGGTAGTCTTGGATGAAGTAAAGTGTGTGTAAAGTTTTGTTTAGGATGAAGTCTTGGACTAAGGGAATTGTAAGTCCCATTAAAGAAAGTCAAGTTGTTTCAAATCAAGTGTAGTCTAAATGGAGTTTTGTCAGACTTGTTCAATATATATGATAAAAATCCACATTTGCAAATGAGTTCATTTAAATAAATACAAGAAAAACCTTAGGAAAGTTACTATGGTTGTGTGTTTCACCCAAAACTAAATTGAACAATCCTACTTCATGTATGCAATAATTATTACAATATTTCTGTGCACAATTTTCTACTAAATATTTTGAAACAAACTCAGACAATGAAAAATGGAAATTATTATTATTACGTACCTCTACACGGCTTTTGAAACAGACTCTCTTGCATTCATAGCATGTCAACCCTCTCTGGTCACCACATTTCCTGACAGTATCATGCCTTTCTAGCATTCCTCTTCTGCTTTTTCTAATTTCTTTGAGCCATTTCAAAATTCTCTTTTCCGTGATATACTACTTTCTTTCATCTTACCCAATCAGTTCTAGTTTCTTCATAGTCTCTTTTCAAAATGTCAGTGTTCTTCTAGGATGTTTTGATGCAGTCCTTGAATCTTAGCTTTATCAGGTGGATGTTTCCAATCCTCGGATATAGTGAGACTTTTTTTTCTGGTAAAGTTATGCTACTAAAATGTAGTTAAGTTTTTTTTCTTTCTATTTTTCTTAATATTGACAGGTTATTTTTTGTTTGTATTTGTAGCAAGAGAAACGTATCTTCACCAATTTCCATCGTCAAGTATTTTGCTGGACAGATAAATGGTATGGTATGACTATGGATGATATTCGACGCCTTGAAGATGAAACAAAACAGGAGTTAGATGAGGTAAATTATTTCATTTACCATGATTTATATTGTATTATGCAAATGTCATTCGTTTTTTATGTGTAGGATTGTATTTTTTTTTAATCATTTTACCTCAAGCAAAGCAATAAAGCGATTAGGACAAATTCTTGCAACTCTGAATTCAAAACCTTGGCAAAGACCACAGGAAACCATTACCTTAAGCACAGTAATGCCAATTCTCAAATATTAAAGAAGGAAGCCATAGTTGCATATGCTCTGAAATGACATTTAATTTTAAAAAGAAATAGATTGTACTGCTTGAACTTACCTTAGTTTTAGATGAAAATATTGAATAAAGTTTTTCGACTTCTCATATTAAAAAAATTTTTTTTATAAGCTCTATTCAGCAAGAGATTTTGTTGATATATCTAATAAAGATACAGAGCACAGATTCATGCCTTTTTCAAGGACATTCAAATAAAAATAAATTGATTTGTAATACTACCTTTTGAATTTAGATGATCATGCTTATGACTAGCATTTTTTTTTTTTCATTTTAATTTCAGTAGCTTTTTATTGCAACTCTCAGGCTGTCATGTTGTTGATACGAAGTGGTATGGATTGAAAATGCATTTTATTTTCTCATCCATGCTACAGAAAAATGGTTTTGAATACTTGTGATAAAAACAACACAATGAAATCACTTTTAGACAGAATTATTAATAATAATAATCTATACTATAAAAAATGCTAATTCTGTTCTTCACACAGTGTTTTTTTTTTTTTTTTTTTTTTTATGTGTATGTGTGTATATATATATATATATATATACACACACACACACACACACACACACACACACAGTGGTGTAATGGACAGTGGCTTGGATTGAGGAATCTGAGAGCCGAGTTCTATTTCCAGTTGAATCCATTACATTTACTTATATGCTAATACCTTTGGGAAAGATATGAATCCTCTTCTTTTCCTCCCAGCTATGGGTAAATAGCAGGACAGACTGGGTTCTATAGCCGTGGATGGCAACTAGTCTAGGAGAAGGACAATTGTCGAGGGTTCGTTGGGGACCTTGTGGCACATGGTACACCAGGTCACTGTATTCAGCTCTTTAAAAAAAGTGTGGTTGGTTCTGCACAAAGCCTTCACTACTATAATCAAATGATTTGTGCGTGTAGTCTGGCTGCCAGTTTCTAGCAAGTGAGTTGCTCGACACTCGTGTTGAAAATGACGGGAGAGCCCATTTTTTTTATATATATATATATATAATGAAATGGATTAAGTCTGACAAGTATTTAATATATTTTCTGTTTATACATTTAATACACTTATAGATACAATTTAAGTAAATGCTTTGTTTTTAATTAAACAGTATTAAATACATTTACTGGCCTGAATGTTTGAGAAATTTTGTAGAAAATGTGTATTCTCCTGCAGGAATCAAACCTGTATTACTATATTTGTCATTTGGCCTGAAATGTTGTACCATTCAGCTATAGAGAAGTGTATGGTTAGCAAAACTGAGAATCACTGTTTATAAACAATCTTTGATTTTTTTTTTCTCAATTAATCAGTTCTGTTCACAAAACGTATCTTGATGTAAACAATGACAACATATAATGAAATAGATTAAGTCTGACAATTATTTAATATATTTTCTGTTTATATGTTATTTGGACTTAATTCATTTCATACATTCAACAAAAACAAAACAATGCACATGCTCAAAATAAGATATAAAATGGAGACAATTTACCCATAACCTCCTCTGTGTGTTTTTATATATATATATATATATATATATATATATATATGGTGCATGAGTGATTTACATGTATTAATCCCATTTAATGTATACATAATTTGACTCCGTTTCGAATAATGCATTCCTCATCCCACTCAATTCTAGACAACCCTTACACTGGGCTGAACAATAAAATCAAAGTTGTAGAGAAGAGAGGAAAAAGAAAAATGTGTTGTTTTTTTTTTTTGTTTTTTTTTTTAATACTTTAGGAAAAAAATTATTGTATTGAACTTTCCAGAAATATTTCAATTATAAATGTTTTTTTCTTTTTTTTTCTCATTGAATTAAAATATATCTTTCAATTATGGCTTATGAAAGCCAAAGGTACTCACAAGTATTGGACAATTTATATTTAAATTTTTATTAGAAACCAGGAAAATTTTCTAAAACAACAAAATTTAAAAAAAAAAAATAATGTAATTTTTTTTCTGTGTGTGTATGATACAATCCAGAGATATCAATGTAAAAACAGAATAAAAAATATATATACACACACACACACACACACACACACACACACACACACACACACACACACACTCACTCTCTCTCTATCTCTCTTTTTGTGCTCTTATGCATTTTCATCTATATTATTATTTTGTTTTTCCAGCAACGAAAAGTTGGCTGTGTTCGAGGAACGGTAGCTGAGTAGTGTTGACATTTTAGTTACAAATCGGAAACTACCACTGCTGTGAAAGTGTCACATCAAGAAGACACTGTCATTCCAAGACTGCAAATAAATGAAAATATTAAAAAAAAAAAAAAAATAAATAAATAAAGAGACTAGCACTTACCAAACATTTCCATTCAACAGTGTAATAAGATGAAATTGCTACAGGCAATATTCATTCTTCCTCCTCTTATAACTACTACTCTTTATGATTACCTACCATCACAACTACTAGTTCTAAGAAGTTTTAATAACTAAAAACTAATTTACAAGAAATTGATAAAAAAGGTTCTCAATTTTCCTTTTTTTTTTTTTTTTTTTTTTTTCTCATGCCAATTAAATTTGTTTTCTTGTCATGTTTTGTTTGTATTGCTCTCACATGTAGAGCTGTAACTCATTTTTGTTTCAACCAAAAAAATTTTTATTTAATGATTTTTTTTTTTTTCTTGGTTCACCCTCTTTATGATTTCATTATTGTTTTGAAATTTGCTACTATCTTTTACCAAGTTTGAATATCTACCAACAAGAGAAGGCATTGGGGAACTGGGGGTGGGGTTTAATACTGTGATCCATTCTTTAAACAATAATTATTAATTATTTTCTTCACTTAAGTTATATATATATATATATATATATATATATATATATATATAACTATAACTTTTTTTTTTCTCTTTTGCTACTTTTCATTAAAAATGTTACTTTTATCACTCTGGGTGAGGGGAAACCCAAATGTATAAATTACTAACTTTTTTTTTTTCTCACAAGAAAATAGAAAAAAGAAAACATTTTAATAAAAATTCTACTTTGGTATATATAAATATTGCAATCACATGAAATCCTATAATGCCTTCCTTTTTAAAAACAAAAAAAACAATGGTCTGTCTAATCAATGAACTAATTTAGATACATATTTTTGGGGGACAGTTTTCTTGTATTGCAAACAATTTCATGAAGTAGCTGCAATTTCTTATATACAGGCGAAAAGTTGTTTTTAAAGATATTGGTTCCTGCCTGTTAATACTTGGTACATTTTTTTTTAATGTTTATATATAAAAGCTTCCCATCTTTCCTGTCTCAAAATTATAACAACCACCCCCCTTTAGACAAACAAAAAGGGAAAAAAAATATATTTATTTTTTTTTTTGCCTGACATTTTATATTTCAGATGTCTTTTTAAAAAGATTTGCAGGATTAATAATCATTCTAGTATTGTAGGAAACACTGAAAAAAACTGGCAGACATAATATAGTATTGAATATAAAGCTGCTTCTAAAATTGTCTGAACCACTTGGAATATAATCAGAAAGTTTAAGTAGTTTTTCTGTTATTGTGTAATAGATTTTTTTCTTAATTTTTCAATCTTATGAACATTTGTCTGTTTTTTTAATGTTTTCTACAACCTTGATGACACTAATGTTGAAAATCCTTTAAAAAGTTCATATCCAATATATAAGGTCTGATGAAAAGTAAAAACAAAAAAACGCAAAAATTAACAAAATTAAACAAACTAATTTAGAAAAAAATGTAAAATTGTAATATTTTACACAAAATAAACAACTTTTTTTTTTCTTTTTTTTTTTTTTTTTTTGAATGATAAAAGATTTAGATAAATTGCTTTTGCTTTTTTTGTTTATTTTATTTTTTTTAACAAATTGAATCTGTTATTCCCTATTTGATTACTGGTGAAAACAGTTTATACACAGAACATTCTCAGATATGCTTCAAAATTAACAGGGGTGGAAAAAAATAATTTTAAGCAAAAATAAGAATTAAAAAAAAAACATTACAAAGACAGACAATATAATATGAAGTTAAAGAAAAACAACTTCTCATTAAAATAAGTCTGCTGTATCAAGGTAGGTTCCAACCAATAGGATAAGTTCAAATAAAATTAAAACTGACTGATTTTTTATTTTTGACCTCATATTCTGAGTTGATGATTTTAAATAGTTTTAGAAATATTAATATTATTCAAGCTCAAAAAGACCATTTGTGAAAAAATAATCATTGATAAATTTTCAGTAAAAGCTAAAACTTAGAAATCCATAATTGTTTTAGATTTACAATAGAAATTCTATTTCCAACAAGAGTGGAATTTACTTACATGAATATTTTATTTTACTTTTCTACTTAAAATATATATTTAGAATTTGAGGTTAAGTAAAAAATCAGCACAAAAAAAAAATTGACATAGACTAATTAAATTAGTTTCACTTTTAGCTTAGTCAGAAAATAGATTAAATGCATCATAGTAGTTTAGTTTCATTGTCAGGGTTTGTTTTTTTATTTCTAACACTGAAGACACCCATGCAAAAATCCATTTTAAGATTATCATTTTGCTTTTTATTTTATTTTTACCAAATGATAAATGTTTAATAACCATGATAATGAACATTGATCTTAGCTTTAAATCATTTAATTTTTTTGTCCTGGTTTTATTTTCTCAATGTTCTAATTACTTTTTTCACTTTCATTGGTCATTTTTTTAGTTTTCCAATAATGAGAGAGAAAAAATAATATAGCAGCCATATTGTTTCTGCATTAAACAAAAGGGAAACATAAGTTGCATTTATTGTCTTTAGAAGAAGAAAAAATAATATAAAAACTAGTAAATTGTTGAAACTTGTTTTTGTTGCTTATCTATATTAAAAAAAAAAAAAAAAAAAAAAAAAAAAATATCCATTGTCACCTGATCACTCTTTTTCTCTCTCTCTCTCTCTCTCTTTCTTTCAATTTTTTGGTCAGTATCACATATTAGCATCTCAAGTCCACCGGTGACAAAATAGTCAATTTAATTCTAAAAGCAAAGCAGAAAAAAAAAAAAAAACAAAAAAAACACTGAACAACTGTCTTTAGATCTTTCTGCTCTCTGATTCTATTTCTAATTGTAGCAAGTCTCAAAGTTGATGACGGCAATGATGGTGATGATGATGTTAATGATGAAAAGTAATTATTAAAAAATAAGAAAAGAATGATGATTTGAACAAAACAAAAAAACAAGCTAGTTTTAATTTTAACTTTTTTGTCTTACATTGCTTTGATCTCAAGCTCTTCTTACATGCACACGTATCAAAAACATTGTTTTCTTATTTCTCTAATTCAGTTGTTCCCAAACATTTTTCTCTGGGACCAATTTTTGGAATGAAAATTTGATTGCGCCTCACCAAATTTTATGTGATAAAAAGTATGTTTAAAAATAAAAAACAGAGTGAGGGTTAAAGGGAGATAACTAGATGCGACGTCAGAACATTATCATTGATGACTCTCTGCGAAATTGCAGAGCCTAATTACTATACTCTTAATACTTGATATAATGCAAAAATATCACAATGATAAATCAGTCAATAATTATAACTTTTTATACTGGGACTCATGCATGCAATTACAAGTTGAAATCATACTTATTTTTGGCATTTGAATTTTTTGAAACTGTTTCTAAATCTTTGATTATCTTTCAATCATTCTGCCTCACCTGCTATCCTCTTCTGCTGCACCTATGAGGCATGCTACATCATTTGGGAACCACTGCTCTAATTCCTTCATTGTTTTAATATAAGTGTCACACTTTCAAAAAAGGAATAACTTATAAAAATATTTTTATACTTGAAAAGGAAAAAGGAGTGTTTCATTCAAATCAAATTAATATAAAACAATATTTTACAACTAACTCAAACCCAGTGTTCCTAAGGTGATATTAGTTATATCTTTTTGTAATACAATCTAAAAAAATTAAGTAAGATCCATTCCGATATTATTCTTATATCATTTTGATCAGTACAGGTATACCTTGTTTTGTTGCACATTTTGTGCTTTCCGGATATTGCATGTGTTCACAAATTGGAATTTTGTGGCAACCCTGCATCAAGAAATTGGTCAGCACCATTCTGTCAACTGCATTTATATTATTTCTGTATAATCCTCACAACATTTAAAATATTTTTCCTTATGTTCGTGTAACATGTAGTCAATACAAATTCTGTTCTTGGGGTTTGGGGTCAACAAAACTCCTCACAAAATAACTTTTTGGAGAATACTTGCAGAAAAAAGGATGCTGGTTTTCTGGCAATCTGCAGTCTCAATTCCAATTCTCCTTATGTCATCTTTCAAGTTTCTAGGTGATGTTCAAAGCAAACTTTTTACTACAGGAATTACTTCATGTTCCATCACTTTTTTGACTCTCTAGTCAAATCCTTGTATTTTTCAATTTTCAGTTTCTTTTATCAAATGGAACATCTAAATCCATAAATAATAATTGTAGATTTGATATTTTCCTTATCTATAACAATAAGGTCGGGTCTTTGTGCTTTAATGACAAAATCCGTCTAGACAAAAATCCATAAATTTTCTACCACTGCCTCTGGTTGATATTCCTACCATTTTTCTTTCACACTGAAGCTAAACTAACCTGAGACTTCCCAATAGGTTGTTATTATTATTGAAAGCCTCTCCAATTCTTAAATATTTCAGCCAGGCGATGGTGGTCACATCTCCATTCCTACACATAACTTAGAGACACAGTACTTTCTTTAGCACATGAGTTGTTCCAAGCAGCACTGCCACCTGTCAGGCATCCTCAGTGTCTTATGAGAACAGATTCATGAAAATAGTTCCAAGTGCACTAACCACAAAAACAATTTGAACTTCTGCTTGGCACATTTCTCCAATTTGCCTGCCATCTCACTTGTACTGCTTTTGCAATGTTCTTAACCCAAGGATCTATCAAGATCAATCCATGACTGCTCTTGTGCACAAATGTGATATCAGGATGATTACTCTCCAAGTGCTTGTCAATCTAGATGGTTGTATCATACATAAACTTCACTTGTTTGTTGTCAGCTACTGAGAATACTTGTCCCATTTCTCTGCGTACTCAAGTTCATATTTCATAGCATCATCTGTACTCTTTTTGTGCCAGCTGAGCGCAGCCACTGACAATATGTTGCACCCCTTCAGCTGCTTTTCCCATACAGCCTGCACTA